CTTTATGATTTGAACCAGTAAGTTTATTGTCACAGCATTGCCATTTCAAATAGACAACTAAAATTTCAGCTAAAGGAGCATTCATTCCTTGATTTTTTCCTTGATTCATTCCTTGATCTTTGTCTCAACCCATGAATTTTTTTTTTTCTTCCCCCAATTGTCTCTGCCATCCCACTCAGGACAGGGAGATTGAGCAACCGGCTGTGTGGTTTTTAGCTGCCTGCCAGATTATGGTATATTAGCTATTGAAAACATGAATGTGGAATCATGAGTAAGTAGGCATGTACTGACAATTGTTTGGGGGTAATCTACACCTAGCACAAACAATGCAGGATCTCTCAGCAGTCTTTCTGAGTGTCTCCATAGCTTTTAAGTAAGAAAAGATTATGTATGTGTATTTGTGTCCTGACTTAACATCCATCTGCTTGGTGCATGCTTCAGCACAAAGTAAAAATCTCATGAAGATGTAAGAGGGGACCCAGAAGGTGAAAGAAAATACCCAGTTAGGCATATGTTCTTTTTCTGATAGCAGACTGTTACGAGTGCTTAAGAAGAGTAACAACAAGGGACTTATGGAAGCAATTGCTTCTTTTTATACTCTCTCTGCTTTTAAAAAACAGTATTTTAGAGATTTCCTAAGCTGGAGGCTTGCATCTGGAATGTAAAATTATTTCACTGCATATCCTGGTTGTCTGCAACTTCATTATTTCTAACGTCTAGTGGGGGTTGTGTGTTCTTTTTAAAGCTTCATAGTTCCTCACTTGAAAATGCATGAGAGAGCAAATATATCTGTTTGCCAAGTTTTTACTCACATCGTCTCAGGTTTTAGATAGCATGTCCCGTGATTTTGGTCGTATTGGAGGAAAGCCTTTTCTATCTTTTGGATTAGCTGTCATTTTTTTCCACCGCTATCTGTCTATGCTTGTACTTTCATCTAATAAGAAACTATGGGGATATCTATTGCTTACTAGAAGACAGTCAAATACTACATCTTCCTCTGCTCAGTGGAATGCAGCTCCCACAGCTGTCTTGGTTTGTCTTCTCTGATTTCTTTTTGCAAGTCTTAACTGGTCAACACATGTTGTCTGGCATCCTTAAGTAGTCTGAGATGCCAAATGGACCTACAACAGTGATGTGCTTCTGTTTATTTTGGTCTCTGTTTTCTGAACTACAAGAACAGAGATGTGTGATTTTCAGGTTCTCTTGCTGTTAAATGGATTTGGTTTCTTTCCCTAAGCTGTGTATCGAAAAGAATGGCTGTTTCACGCTTCAGAGGTCCTGTCTCAAGTAATACCCTCTTTGGTGCAAGCTATGCATCATGCACGATCGTGTCTGTAGCCAACTAACTTCAGAGATAACAATTCAGTCACTCTTTGCCCCATCAAAACTCTATATAATTTTAACGGAAATATTCCATAAGTGATTAGGCTGGAGTTTCAGTCAATTAGTAAAGCGTTATATTTGAACAATTACTTTATTACTTTATTGCTACTAATAAGTATGTGCACCTTCTGAATAGAAACATGGCAACCTACACTTTTGAGTTTCTCAATTTTTCCTGTAATTTTAGGGTTTTTATATAACTGCAAATTGTATCACTGTTAAATGCTGTCTCACAAGTGCAGTTCTGTATCACACAGAAGATTATTGCTAATGAAGTATGGCAGCCAGCAGAGACTTACCAGTAAGAAGGCAGTATTTTTAAGATGATGTTAATTGGAAAAAATGTCAAGCTCTGTTAGCCTACTTTGTAACTATTTTGAGCCTTTGAAATATTAAAAAAATACTTTATTTCCAAAGCAACTGGGAAAAAAATTCAAGCTGTTTTAGCCTTCTTTGTAACTGTATTTGGAGTTTATGAAATATTAAAAAAATATTTTTCCAAGACAACTGAATGTTAAGGTAATTATTCAAATGATATCATTTGGGATAAAATCTGCCAGCTTCTGACTTATTCTTGTACTGTGAAAGAGCTATAATATGTGTATGTTTCAACAAGTTCTATAACTTTAATTTGCCAATTCTTTTTCTTCTTTTTCTCCCTAAAGGGGGCTTCACTTCTTTTGATGCTGAAGCACTATCTCACTAAGGATGTTTTCCAAGCCGGCATTGAGGTATACTTGCATAATCACAATTATGGATCTGCCCGGAGTGACGACTTGTGGGACAGCATGAATGAGGTATCCATCTTTAATACGCTATTCTTGTTTTTTCACTTTTCTAAATGTGTTGTAAATTTTGATTTATTTCCTTGTTTATGAAAGAAATAAGGTAATACACTGCTGGTAAATACTTCGAAGTTCGTGCTTATTGTAGGCCAAAGTTCCGTCATACAGACATGGAGATTCCTGTAGCTTCTAGGACTCCATTGAGTATCATCCCAAAAAAGCACTGGAAGTGGGTATGCATGGTAGTGCATGTGTGCACCTGTGTGGACATGTCAGTATGTACTTGTCCTTTCTAGAGTTGCATTGTTAGTCTGTTAAGACCAGAATAAAAATAGTAATCTTAAATGCAGGACAATAACTTGACTTTCAAGGAATAGCTGAATCCAACTACTGTAGAGGTCTTGGGATACTCTCTACTAGTGCAACTTACTTTCAGTGATAGCTTCTGTTTCAACAAGCAGTGCTGGAATTTAGGAAAACAGGCTATAGGGGACAATTTATTTCAGCAGCACTCAAATGGTAAGGTAGGCATAAAGCTTTGTCTGATTAAAGTGGGTGTCGGGGGAGAGAGCGAGGGCCCAAGAAAGCAAGGACACAGGCAGGAGAGAGCAGGCAGGAGATCACAAGACTGTGGGAGCTGGGGAGGGCAAGGACAAGAGAGGGGAGAGACAGTGGGGTGGGGTGAAGGAGGGTGAGAGAGCAAGAAAGGAGTAGGGACATGTGAATGCAAGGGAGAGACACATGACAGGGAGAGAGTGGGAGGGAGAGTGCAAGGGGGAGAGTGTATGAGAGGGAGAGAGTGTCTGTGGGAGAGAGCGAGAGCAATCCCAACAAGAAAGAGCTGCTGAGTATCCCCAGGGAGTGTCAAGGTAGTTGTATAAGGGAAGAAAACAGATTTCCCTGCAGATGTGTGTACTGCATAGTATGTATTAAAGTCTCTGAAATACACGTGAGATGCCCTCACAGAAGCTGAGTGCTAGGCAGGATACTAACTTAATGTTTAGTTTTGGTTCTTGGCATCTACCTCATGATATTTGAATTTCTGCAGAACTGGAGCTGCTGCTAGTTATTCTTAGCTGTCACAGGTGGCTGTGAATTTGTGTGTTTAGTCAGACACAGTCACTAGTTCGCCAGCTAGTGATGATTATTACTGATGACTGTGACTCTCTTATGACAGAGAACTCTTCTGGTTTGTATAGTGAGTTTTATAGTGCAAAACAGACTTTCCTCTCCTCAGCCACTGCAAAATGGAGCCTCCTGACCAACCATCTTCAGTCATGCACACGTAGAGAACATACCACAGGGAGATGGTAGTATCCACATAGCGTGGCTAGGGAGGCCACACAGATGCCTTGCGTTTAATTAATGTGAGGGCTTACTGTTACTAGATGCAGAGTTTAACTGTCACTAAAGCGTGGGAAAAGAGTCATTCTCAAAACTTTAGATTACTTGGTCTGTCTCCTGGGCTCAGAAAAGAACTTTTTTTTTTTTAAATTATAAACCTACTCTTTGTCCATGGGGCAAGTTGAGCTTTTCTGCAAATTCAGCAGAGCTCTTTCTCCAATCTTATGCAACATCAGTCATCATCTTTTAAGAGTCAAAAGTAATTGTTAGCAACTCGGGGATTGCTTCACCCAATTGTATTGTTAAGTGAATTGCATCCAACCAGCTTAGTAATGTCTAACATCAGAACTCTGTGTGTATTTCCTATTTTAATGAGAAATAACCCTTTGCATTTGGTGCTAATTTAATAGTTACCGAATTCCTGCTATAACAGCATTATCTGCCAGAAGTTGCCCTTCTGTGTGGAGGAGCCCACCAGCTGGTTCTTTAGACATTTTCTGATGCTGCTTACAATGTTTGCGTTTTCCTCTGTGTCTGTTTCTGGCTGCACCTCATTTTGTGCCTGAGTCTTTGGTTTGTTTTGTGGGTTTTTTGCATGTAAGTGTTAATGCTGTTAATTTTCTGTTTTCACATAGCATGCACATTTGTACACTTCCATGTTCCTTTTTTCCAAAGACTTATGGTTTACCTGGACTGGTCTGGTGTTGCAATGAGTTAGTTTACATTTGGGCTTTTATTATTTTGCTTCCCTGAGAAGGTACCAAATTTTCTGCACTACTTCTTTTCCACTGATTTTCACCTATTGCCTCTCTGAATTTAATGAAATGTACGGTTCCTGTATCCATTTTCCTTTGTTTTGTATTTTTTCTGTCTTACTTTTGTGTGTGTGTGTCTTGAATTCTTAGTTTCTCTTGCTTTCTGATGGTCTTGTGTCTTCAGATTCACAGCCAGACTCTATTTGTTAATGGTAAAATCTAGACAGGCTGCACGTCTGATTACTTGCTCTGCCCTTGGTATCAAAATTCATCCATTCTACGAACTTGATGGAAAGTCTTTGCTCAATAATATTTTTCCCCCAGTAGGTATCTGAGTAATTAAAACTATATGAACTAGATGAATCTGAGTAGCTCACACAAAATATTGTGTACCTGTCTGATCTTGAGTTGATCTGAGTTGACTGATACCATTATTACTGCCCTTGGACTCTAGCCAGCCTGCAGATCTGCTAAAAGTTTCTTTCAAAGCTTTATCTTCATAATACGAGAGTCCATATCTCTGTCTGGACTTACTGATTCTTTCTGCTTCGTATGTGAACTATATTTCACTGAGTCTCCTTTATGACAATTAAATAATTAGTATTATCATGTGTTGAGATCTTTGATATCCTTTTCGGTTGTTTCCCATATTTATGGCAATAGTAAAAACAAAACTATGATATTCAGCAAACTGAGCAGCTCTTTTTCCTTTTGCTCCCATTAATTTTGCCTAGGCTGAATGTGCTTGAAAATTCCAACCATAAAAGTGGCCTTTTCTTTGATCATAAATTTTTGCTGTCTACACAGCAAAATGCACAATCATTTCTTAAGTCTTTAATCTTCTCTGTGAAAATTGACAATCATAGTTGGAGTGAAGATGAGAAAACGGCATGTGAATTAAATGACAACTCTGTAATACAGGAAGCAAACTTTTTGTATATCTTTCCTAGTGGGGAGAAGGATTAAGTCATTTTCCTGCATTGCTTTCATTGGAGTTAGGAGCTGCTGTTCAAAGATATGTCAATAACATCAATTAATGTCAATAAAATTTTTGGTATGATGAAACTATGAACCTATAATTTCTAATAAATTTGTTTCATTTCAGGTGATCAGGGGGTTCTGTTTTGGAATGGAATTATTTCAGTGGAGCAAATTTCAAATTTACTCATGTCTCTGTACAGATTAGACACAAATCTTTCTGCTAGTCTTTAGGTGGCTTACAATGTTAGCACAGAAGGACAAAGATGTGAAACAGGCACGTGGGCAAGGTCAAATACTAGTCTTAATTAGTTCCCTGATCTCTTCACATTCCTCTTACCTTGGGTTTGGGGTTTTTTGGTTTCAGTTTTTTTGTCTGGCTGGCGTTGATCTTATAGATTCCTTGGTAGTTTCAAAGAGCAACAGGAAGGAAAGGAAAAGATAGTGGCAAAAGAAGGTGAGAGCATACATTCAGCACACCTTGGGCAATTTATGAAGGAATTGCATAATGTAATGTTGTAGTAACAATGATAGCTTGTGATAACAAGATGGAGGAAGAGGATTCACCCAAGAGTGGGTTTTGAGAGTATGTAAAAAGTAAAAAACCATGTAGACTTCAGATTCTATAGATTTTAAACTTTTGATAGAGAATTGCTTCCCTGGAATTGAAACCCCTACTTGAAGTTTATGGTCATTCTCTACATAAGTAATATAGTATTTTCCCATGCAGGTAACTGTACATGTTATTCTTGGCTTGAACAGAGAACAGTGGGCAGTAAGTTGCTGATGAGGTAAACTAGAGAAAGACACAGTATATGTTGGTAAAAGCTAAATGTAACTTAAGTAATGATATATTAATTTCTTTATGTTCCTGATGGCTCAACCTAAATCATATTTTCATAAGTTAGGGGACATACTGTCTTTTTCAGGTTGGATGATCATCTCTGCTAATAAACAAGCAGTGATATGTAGACATTATAAAGTACTTATCCCTCAGTGGGGATGTCGTAGTACAAACAGTTCCTGAAAGATTAGAAGAGGTTGGAGGTTAAGCTGTGCAAAGGCTGGTAAGTGTGGAGGGGAGGGGAAGAGAAAGTGCTCAGTATAAAGGATATGTTGGTTTTGTTGTACAAACACCATCACTTTAATTCAATTTCTAATGTTAATTTCAGAATTAAAAGATCTTTAAACTGAAACACCCACATATCAGAATACCAATAAGGAAAGAGAAGGGATAGCGGGGAGCTTGGGAGCTTACCATAACTTTCTTATCTGTAACATTCTCTTCTCCATTTTCATGACATACCAGTTCAACCTACCTGATGATTTCCAGTTTGTCTTTCCACTGCTTGGCTAGGATTCCCTCAACTTAAGAAAATAAAAACCACTTGCTCCCCTAAATTGTTGCGTATTAAATTTACAAGCTCAGTGATTGTTTACAGATGCAGAATCATGCTACCACTTTGTAAATTAAGGAGGAAGGTTTAAAAATGTTCTCCATTTAGCATTTTCTTGTTATGATTGTTTTTTTACAGATTACCAATGGAACACTAGATGTAAAAAAGTTGATGAAAACTTGGATTCTGCATAAAGGATTTCCTTTAGTCACTGTTGTCCGAAAGGGAAAGATTATTTCTGTACAACAAGAGAAATTTTTGTATCATGTGGAACCAGAAAATTGGACATCAGATGCAAGGTTACTACCTTCTTAATACCTTTTGTCCATTAAAATCTACCTGCAGATATCTTTCTTGTATCTTGTACTTCTTTCTCACCTTGTATTCAGGTTCTAGTATTTTCTTTGAAGGCAGGTAGTAATAGAAAATTTGGCACAGAAATTCACACATCTAATATCTGCCAGAAGTTCCATGTGTAGTTCCACCCAAGCAACTAGTAAAAATCTTTTGTAAGCCGAGTTTCTTGTTTGCATCCTTTCCTGAAGCTTATAAGCTTGAGATGGTGAATTGTGGTAAGTAGTAAAATGAATTTTTCAGGTTTTTTAATACCAAAAGGAAGATCTCACAGGTAAAGTTTTCTTTTAATTTCAGAAAGTCTTGTGTGGTTAATGAGAAGCTGTAGAAAAGCAGGTTGCAGAAGTCTGCAGAAGTTACAGAGGCATATGTCTTTAGAGCTTCTGCTCCTTCCTGCCACAATTCAGTGTATATCTTGGGCTTTGGTAGAGGAAAGTAGAGAAGCTAGAATCAAAGCTTTCTTGGCTTAAAAATTTTAAGATGGCACTAATGCATGACAACAAATGGCTGAATATATGATGGAGGCAATATCCATTGTACCAAAACTTAAAAAGAAGTACATATGCACATCCTGAAGAAGCAAAGATGTGGCAATTGCTAATTGTAAAAATTAATTTACTTCAAATATGTCTTATATTATGAACTTTACTGTATTTTGTAACAAACTAAAATACGTAGCTTTGAATCCTTTTGAGATTTTGGTGGTTTTATTCAGTTGTTTGAAGTCTTAACAGGAGCCGAGTCCTTTGCATCATCTTGCAGAATCAGGCCTGTGAAAAGAATTTGTCTCTTGAAATGCTGGAAGTTATAGAGCTTTGTTTTATTTTTGTTATGTGGAGGAAGGAAAGTGATATGTGGTTGAAAGGTAAGGGAAGAAGGGAAGGATTGTTAGGCTTAATTATTCTTCTGTTTCTAATTGATGTCAATTTGGGGAGTGCATGAAAAGCTTCTGAAGAGTGCTCTGAGTCATACACACATGGGGTTCCCGTCAAAATTGGAATGCACAGGTACAACCATCTCACTCAAGTTGTGTTTTCTTTGAATAGTCAAGTCCTTGTCATCATTATGAGCCACCTTAGCATTTATTCTTCCAGTCTGCAGTTCACTTAAGATAGTCTTTGTGGTATGCAATCAGTTATGGTTTCTATTAACCAAGATTTGGAATTTGAATCTTGTATTTGAATCAACACAATTTGTTTTTTAAAGAAGTAATAAAACTTGTAAAATTCCAGGAAGACAGAGCTTTGGACCAAGGTGAAAACAATACTGGCTGAATTTCTGATACAGCCAGAGATTTCCTGTCCATACAACTTTAGACAAGCATGCTGGAACTGAGGAAGAAGTACTAGGAAATGTGCGGTCCCTCAGGGGTCCATACTGGGACAACTATTATTTAATGTCTTCATCAGCGACACAGACAGTAGGATCGAGTGCACCCTCAGCAAGTTTGCAGATAATACCAAGCTGAGTGGTGTGGTTGACATGCCTGAGGGATGGGATGCCATCCACAGGCACCTGGACAAGCTGGAGAAGTGGGCCCATGTGAACAAATTGAGGTTCAACAAGGCCAAGTACAAGGTCCTGCACCTGGGTTGGGGCAACCCCCAATATCAGTACAGGCTCAGGGATGAAGGGATTGCGAACATCCCTGCAGAGAAGGACTTGGAGGTACTGGTGGATGAAAAGCTGGACACAAGCAGGCAGTGTGTGTTTGCAGCACAGAAAGCCAACCATATCCTGGGCTGCATCAAAAGAAGTGTAGCCAGCAGGTTGAGGGAGGTGATTCTGCCTCTCTGCTCTGCTCTAGTGAGACCACGCCTGGAGTACTGCATCCAGGTCTGGAGTCCTCAGCACAGGAAACACATGGACCTGTTGGAGTGGGTCCAGAGGAGGGCCACAATAATGATCCAAGGGCTGGAACAGCTCCCCTCTTGAGGACAGGCTGAGAGAGTTGGGGTTGTTCAGCCTGGAGAAGAGAAGCCTGTGGGGAGACCTTATTGTGGCCTTTCAATACTTAAAGGAAAGATGGGGGCAGACCTTTTAGTAGGGCCTATTGTGACAGGACAAGGAGTAATGGTTTTAAACTAAAGAAGAATAGATTCAGACTAGATAGAAGGAAGATATTTTTTATGATGAGGGTGGTGAAGCACTGGAACAGGTTGCCCAGAGAGGTGGTGGAGGTCCCATCCCTGGAAACATGCAGGGTCAGGTTGGATGGGGCTTTGAGACAATTTTCCCACTTCTCAACATGGTGGGAATAAAAAAATAATTGTTGTACATGCTGTACATGTATTCTTTTAGTGTATTCCCATTATATGAGTGAGATTCATACTTCATTATTTTACACAGCATGCAGTGGTTCTAATACTACTAATATATTAAAGTGCTTAAATTAAAAAACCGAAACAAACCCTTCAAGACAAATAATATGTGTATAATATGTCAGTAAACATCTGTTTTCCTTTGCAGTTATCTGTGGCATATTCCTCTCACCTACATAACTAGCAGCTGCAACTTTACCCATTGTACTAATGCGTATTTACTGGACCAGAAGTCAGGTATGTGACTCAAAACTTTGGTAGCAAGTTACTTAAGTGTTATAGATTACTGATCTTTCTGACCACACACTTGTGTAAGATGTGAATATGAAGGCACACATAGTACAAAATAATTACAGAGATCTGGAGCCAAGCACTACTGGTGGTGTCGTCATTAGAGAGTTGGTTCCCTGTAGCATTATATGTAGAAGTAAATGGCAGGAACTGGGGTAGAAGCACAGGTTTGGAATTTATAAAAGCCTGTACTCTTTTCATCCCAGTGCATGCATGAAATCTCTCAAACTGCTTGTTGTGTAGAGAGTGAGTAGTGGGAGAGTTGCTCTGCCAGTGTACTGAAATGTGAAGAAGTCACTTTCTACTGAAATATTATTTATTTTCTTTAATGGTATAAGAAAATATTGCATCTGGAACAGATTAAGTTTTTGAGAATGCTGTTGTAGAACTTGAAAGCCTCAGATCTTTTCACATAAATTCTGCTTTTGCTGCAGTGGCTAGTTTGAATCCTAAATTGCTAGTCTGTGAGGGGTTTTTTATTCAATCCTGGTTTTTTCCTTACCAAGTGAATAATTACTATACACTTTCATGTAGTATTGTGCTAACATAACTTTGGCTATCTCTCTCCACTAACATGAATAGTTTGCATTTTACTGAAGCTGGTCTGACTCATCATCTTATATCCGCTGATGTATTTTCTTCTCCCCTGTTAAAGTTGCTATTCAGTGCATTTAACTGGCAGTTACTTTTAATTCCTAAATCTGTCTCGCACCTCTACTTTTTGGAATAAAACTATACAAATTTAAAATCAAACTCTTAGGGCTGATCTTGACATTTTTGCTGTTTACTGATTTTTATGAATTGCCAGCCCTCTAAAATTACTTTAGAAGTACCATAATTCAAGTAATTAATTAAATTTTGTAATTAATTAAATATTGGGTTATGTCATTCTGACATTGGTTTTACAAAGCTTTCAAGTTATTCCTGGCCTTTTTCATTTGAGATGGAGTTTTAGAAAAAATACTAGGATTTATCAGGATGGAGAAACAAAGCTGTTTAATTTAATGTGTTCTTGATCTTACTAGAACTAATAGATAAGTAGCCTAATTTCATCATTTTTGTTTCACCTTAAATGGCCCTATTGGTGGTCTCATGTTCATCATACTAATTCCTCACTCACTGTAGAAACTTCAGTGTGAAGGATATGAGAGTATATGATATGAAATGTACAAAAGAGTTGGGGTAGAATATTTACTAAATTTCAAAGGCACTGTAAGTGCTATGCAAATTGAGGTTTTTGACAGTAGTTATAGAATCAGCTGAAAGGAAGAATTTCTTCCCAAAGCCTCTCTGCCTCTGTCTAGTTGACTTTGAAACTAGAGTGTGGCCTTTCATCTACTTAATGCCGTCTCCATTTCTCTGTGTCTTTATATGATGTGTGTAACTGCTCCTTATATACATATATATATATGTATATATATATGAAAGTGGGCAGAGAGGAGATGGGGTTATTTGAAAGGAGGACTGGACAGAGGGAGAAAAATTACTGCCCTAAGTAATGAGCTATGTAGATACAAGTCAGGGCAGATTGTGATACTGTTTATTCGATCAGATGTAGGAAGAAGGAGGAAGTGCAACCTGGAATTTTAGAGCCTTCTCATGAAACCTTTCTATTGGCAATTCCTTCTTCATAGTAGGGGGAACTAGTGGGTGGAAAAGGATTTATTGACTCTCTGGAACCAGACTACTTCATACTGGTCTACAGTTGCTAAATGCTTGTTTCTGCTGCTAACTGATTGTCTGTCCATTAGCTGTCATTGAACTTCCAGAAGAGGTGGAATGGATAAAATTCAATGTGGACATGAACGGCTATTACATAGTACACTATGCTGAAGACTGGAAAACGCTGATTGATCTGTTGAAAAAAAACCACACTGCTTTGAGTCCTAAAGACAGAGCTAATTTGATCAACAATATCTTCAACCTTGCAGGGTAAGACTTTTATACTGGAAAGCATAGTTAATATGCATTTAAAGTTTTTTCCAAGTCAAAGAAGATTAAATTTAGATTCTAGAGAAGACTGCTTCAGAGAAGTTTTAATTCACTCTTCATTAGCCTATTGAAACCGTTCACCATTCACTAATTTTTTTTTTTTTAAGTTATTTCACTGATGCTTCAATATTGATACTAGATGTTATCTCCCTGTTCCTTATAGCAGCATCCATTTATTTGCATCACAGAGAGCCACATGATAGCTTTCATTTGTGGAAGACACTGTGTGCTTTAGTGTCTGATAATCTGCCTAGTGGACTGTTTTCCTGTACTCTGTCAATGAATGCTCCACTCTAGAGAAGTAAGCTATTTGCCTCTTAAATTTTTACTGGTTCCCTCTCTTGTCTTTCACCACTGCCGTCAGAGCAGGTGAGGCTGAAGCATTCTGGATTACTTCTTTGACTGCTGCTTCCTGTATCTGAGTACGCTCATTTATGATAAATATTTTCAGACATCATTGTCACACTTTATTTCCATTTTATTAATTGAAGGCATGTTAGTGGCCATTTTTGCTTTGTTGCTATCTTACTAATGTTATAACATAAAAATCTCTACATCTAAAGTATTTCCTGTGTTACTCCCTTCATTCACCTATCCCTCTGTTAATGTCATGGAGAACATCACTTATGATCTTGTTTCAGGGAGTGCTTTTGTTCTGGAAGCCATTTTAATGTTTGTGTTCATTGACCTATAGTCTAGGAAAAGTGTCTCTGGAAAAGGCCTTTGAGCTCATTGATTACCTTAACAAAGAGAGCAGCACTGCACCACTCACTCAAGCTTTGTTTCAGCTGAGTCTTATGTACAGCCTTTTAGAGAAAAAGGGTGAACAACAACTGGCAGCACGAGTCATGGTATGTCTTACTTTTCTGTAAATTATAATTTGAAATAATTAGCTGTAATGTTCTTGATAGTTACATTAGCTTTTTAAGTGTTGACTGCTGAACATATTCAGTAATATTACTAAGTTGGATGGGGATTCTAGATAGTTGCCAGTCTTGCCTGCTTTTGTTAAGTAGGAATGATCTCTTACTGAAATGCTAAATTTTTTGGATCAACTTCCATCTCCCCCCCAACCCCCCAAATGTTTTGTAGAGAGTGTAGTGCAATGGGAACACAATGGTGTCTGGGGATTTGCTATAGTGGCTACAAAGGTCAATATAGTACAGATATGCAATTAAACAGAGTCCATGACATTTTTCAAGTACAGAAAAGTTATTTCAAAAATTATTAGAGTGGGTGGAGATCATAAACCTAATTGCTTTGTATCAAGGCAGTGGAAAAAAACAAAACTGTTTTCTGTAAAAATAAGAACACATGAATGGTTGTTATTGTCCCATTCCAGTTGTGTGATAGATTAACACAATACAGTGCAATGAAATCAACATCATAGCCTGAGTTCTTGCTGAGGAAATGTCTTTCATTTCTGTTTACCTTATTATGAAGCCTTCTCTCTATATTCATATTCAGGTTTAAAGTGATCCTTACTGCTTTAGATAGTAGAACGTTAGCAAAGGGATTTAGTCTAGAAGGAAAATTATTAAATGATTAGGTAAAATAGCAGATGTTTCTCTTTATGCTAGGTAAGGGTAATTAGCAAGTGCTTAAGGAAACTTACAAGAAACAAAAAACACTACTATAATAATTTCCTTTATTTAGTACTTACTCAAAGGGTTTACAGATCTGCTGTGATAAACAGCCCAAGCTATGGTTTGCAATACAGTGCCTATGGGGTTATATTCAAGGTCAAGTGTTTCAGCTGAGATGTGGTAGCTGGTCAGGCACCTTGCTGTGGTTTTGGCAAGCTACAAAACTACAAATGTGAAGGGTGTTCAGCCTATAGGAAAGTTGGTTTGTTTGTTTGTGCTAAACTAAGGTGTATTAACTGTCAACTTGATGCACTTAAAAGCAGTTAAATATACAGGAGTTGTAGTTACTTGAGATAGTAAGCTGACTATATACAAGTCTGACCTGTAGCTTGAAGACTAGTCTTCAGTTTCCATGTGCAGTTTAAGATGTAGACCTGGCCTATTTTTCAGGTCTATGTGGTATCTGATACTTACTCATACAGATAAGATATGGTATATATAAATTGGAATAGGTAGATTAAAAAAATACTATTTTTAATTTCCACAGTTCTAAAACTTAATTTTTTTTCTTAGACTAATTTTGTACACAGAAAACCCTCTTGGGAATAACTAGCTATTGCTAATAATTTTTCCTCCTTTAGCATAGAATAGAGCACCTGCTTGGAGATAAAATTGATCAACAGCATTGGACAGATGATGGGACCTTGTCTGAACGAGAGCTCCGGTCAACGCTGCTAGCTTTTGCTTGCACACATGATATGAGAAACTGTAGAACAGCTGCCACTGAGATATTTGAGAAATGGATGAGGTCTAATGGAACAATGAGGTACCACAAAAACTGCGTTTCCACTTCTTTATCTACCCGTTTTCCGGTTACCTTGCCACCATCATTTTGGGAGGGGGGGGAAACAAACCAAAACCCCAACCGAACCAAAAAAAGACCACACCACCAACAAAACTGAATATTGATGAAGCACTTTGTTCTGTCTTTCACTGTTCCTCATGTAGAATTAATTGCTGTTTTAAGATGAGAGGGAGAACTGTGCTAGAATTTAAGACTTCATTTGCAGTCCCATTAAGTGTGACTGCAAAACCAGCCACAAGTTGCTTCCATCTGCATTTCCGAAGCTGCATGCTCAAGGAGGATTACTTAGTAGCAATGTCAAAGCACACCTTTTTATCTTGGAGAATTCGTTCTGCTCTGGATTTGTGTGTATTTTGAGCCACAGAAAATTACTCAGATTTTTGTACAGTTACTGTGCTTTCATGTGACTAATATGATTTGGTTTTTCCTAGTGACTTAAAGTATTGGACTGGCATGAATTCAGTCCAGCAAACTTACAGTTGCTACAGAATTAAACTGCTTAAAAGAGAGGCATCTCTTTCAAGCTAATCTTTTCATTTTGTGACTTTTCTTCCCTCTTTTCTCAGATGAGCATTTTTATGTCCCCCTTTTTTGGTTTGTTTGGTTTTTTTGTTGTTGTTTTGTTTTGTTGTTGGTTTTGTTTTTTCCCCTGTAGTCTGCCTAGTGATGTTACGAAAGCCATATTTACAGCTGGAGCCAAATCCAGTGATGGCTGGGAATTCCTTCTGAATATGTATGCCTCTTCAGTTTCTGAAGCAGAGAAGAGCAAAATGATTGAAGCCTTGGCCAGCACAGATGATGTCAGAAAGCTGATCTGGTATGGAGGAGCCAAAAAGTTGTATGCTGTGTAAATTAAAAGCGTTAAAATCTTCTTTCAAAAAATGTATTGTCTTTTTTGTACTGTTGAAAAAATTTCTGACCAGTAAAGAAAATCTGTCCACAAGTTTTGTACAGACTTCCATAAACATGAAGAACATGATATTTTTCGCTTAAAAATAATTTACTTAACAGAGTACTCAAAAGACCAAATTCTGAATATGCATAAAGAGAAGACAATTGAACTGGTAATGCAAAACTGCAGGTTTTGTAGTAAAGGTAACAAAATTGCAGATTGTTCTGTGGAGTCTTAAAAGACTGGTATATCTTTATAACCAAGATAATAACTAGTTGGGGGGGGGGGGGGGGGGGGGGGGTGGGGGTTTGAGGTTTTGTTTGGTTGTTTGTTTGCTTGTTTTTCTTTTCTTTCTTTCTTCCTTTCTTTCTTTGGCTGAAATTTTGACCTTACATTATGCTCCAACATCTCTCTATAGACCAAATCTCAGTACTGCATGGAGGACACCAAGGTTGTCCTGCTAGGTGATTCTTGTTACAGCTTTCTTCTCTTAACTTTTCGATGTATTATGTTTTCTGTTACAAGCTGTAAGAATTTACTTCATCTTTTCCAACATTAATGAAAATTCAGGTACTTAGTTTAGAGCTAAGGTCACTCTGATACTTGGAAACTAAAGCTAAGTAAGTACGGTGGTTATCAAATGGAGCATTGGTTCCACATGCCATAAGTTGCTTGTTGTTTGATCTATTACATAATCTTTTCCATCTAATTCAGGAGTATCAGGAGAATCCTGTGAAGATACAAATAGATGTTTTTTCCTGTCCCTTTTCATATGCTTTGTCTTTTAGGTTAATGCAGAACAGCCTTGAAGGAGAAGTCATTAGGGCACAGGAGCTTTCACATATCATAGCAACTGTTAGCCAGGGTTTGCCTGGATATTTGCTGGCCTGGGACTTTGTCAAAGAGAACTGGGAAAAGCTTACACGAAAGTAAGGCTTTTGATATAGCTGAAACTTTACACTCACAGTGGCCAAAGCACCTGTTTGTTTCTTTCAAGCGCAAGATAATATTATAT